AGATCAAATGACTTTCCCATAAATAACCAGCTGCTAAGTGGCAGAGCCAGAATTCAAACCCAGGGAAGTCTGACTCAAGAGTTCGTGCATTTATCCATTATTCTAAGCTACTTCTCAAGAGGTGCATAATTCAGCTTCTTGGAAAAGAAACTGTCCAGTAATGACTGCCTGCTTTCTACTGCACTTGGACTGGGAGAAAAATATATATACACCAAAATTCTAAACAATGTATAGGGAGAGAATTCACGTTCATTTAATATCTAAGAAAAGTAAAGATTTCAAATGAGAGAAAATACTCTAATTTTCCAGAGGCTGTGTCAAAATCACAGACCTACCCTCAGTAACACGTTTCGAATGTCGCTTTGCCCCCTCGGGCAGAAGGCAGGATTATTGTCACCAGTACTTTAAAGTCTAGTTTTCTCTAATTTGCCCCCACCTGGAGACACTTCTGCAATACATTAGTTGTGCTTAGGGATCATATTTACATTCTGAATTCATTTCCTTTGGCCTAATTTCCATTTATTCTTTTTCCCTATTCTTTTTATAAGCTCTAAATTTGTGTTTATTAGTCATTGCCAATACATTGATTTCACACAAGCATAAAATGTATGCAATGATAAAAACAAAGACACTATATATAGTTTTCCATTTTCAATTTACCTCCTGTATAATTTTACTGTTCTCATACCCTTCACAGTACCCTGAAACCATACCCAATTTTAAAGAAAAGAAATGGCTAGGATGATCATTAACTTGTATTAGGGTCACCATCAATTTCAGGATCCAAACAAGATACTTTGCAATTTGATCCCTTCTTCCTGTACTTACCTTAAATACATTTTCAATCGATTAACAATACAAATATATCTAGGAGCAATGGTAGGTATAAAAAACAATTTTCAACACTTGTGAAAAGAAAGGAAAAGAAAAAAAAAGAAAAAACCACAATTTTTTTCTAGAAACTTGGCCTTAAGAATTACTTTAAAACCATTTGATAACCTGTTAACTGGATAAAATCAGGTGTATTTTCTCTCTCTTCTAATATTTCCTACTATATTTCCAGCACTATTTGTCTTAACTTAGTGACACGAGAGTTAATGTAAGTGCTAAAAGAAAAATACAAGACTTGTTTCTCTCTCTGTCATGGTAAAATGTCCATTGTTTCTTAAACAAAAGGTGTCAGATAGTCTCTGTTAAAATGAAAACATTCTCAGGCACGTTTTAGCTTCCAGGAAATGAAGTCTTACGAGCTCCCACACAATAAGGTCTAAGACGGTGGAGGCAAAAATAATTCCACAGACTAACTCTGTGACAAATTTATTCTCATTAGCCCCATATCCCCACAACTTCTCTCTGAATCACCCATTCTGCATCTTTGGAAAGCGTAGAGACAAAATCTCAGTCTTCCCAAACATTCTGATTTGTGACCCGAGGATGTATGTCGGGATTCCACAGAAATGTTCACATTTACTGTCTTTCCAGGGAATAAGCTTGCAAAATAACTTTCCTGTGCAGCAAGTCCATTTCCTGGATACTAATTTCATAACTTTCATTAAATTCCACAATATTCCTTTAATCTTTTTGTTCATGTATGACTCATAAAATAGCTTTACATTGCATTGGTCTGTAAGATGTGTAAAGCGATTCCTTCTCTAAATCTGTGCCCCTGGCTTTTGGGCACTCTCTAGAGGGTCCCTCTAAAGCCACCCCTGAGACACCTTCTCCACTTTAGCCTCTGGTTGTCTGTCAGTTCCTTCCTCAGCCATTCTCTGTGTTTAGTTCCTATCACCCCTGCGGACATCCTATTGGGTCAAAGTCAAACACAATCCAGGCCAAATGTCTCTATTCTGCAAAGAACACCCATTTCTTCTTTACCCTACCACCATTCCTCTACCCACTCCAGTAAAGCCTCAGCACACCTCCCCGACAGATCACCACATTCTTCCCTGCTAGGCTTGCACGGAACCTCTCAACCCACCTCTCCAGGCATCCACTATCTAGAAAGCCAATGAAACCCACATGATTATCTGGTCTTAGGGAAACGCTCTGGGTTGTAATCTACATTACAATTCCAGAGTTTGCCCTAATGAATGGTGTCACTTTTGACATCCATGTAAACTAGCAGCCAGCCCTTCCTAAGAACAAGATGAAAATACCTATAAAATCCCTTTGAAAATTAAAGGAGCATTAGACAAATCCAAGTCAGTTTGCTATAAAGGAAAAAAAGATTAAAAACTAGATTAATGCAAATCTCTTCAACCAGGGGGGATAAAAATGAAGTCATTGATAGTTGATAAGCACCATTTCTAACTTATTGGTTCAAAATTATATTATTGCAATAACTTGAGCAAGTCATCAAATCTCTCTGAGACTCTGTTGCATCATCTGTGAAATAGAGATACTAATGCAACCTATCTGATGGGGTTGTGCTAAGAAATAAATGATTCATATAAAGTTCTTACATGGTACCCGACATAATTATCATTATGTAGCTCAATACATGTTGGCGTTCATTATCGTTATTCATTACAAATTTAAAATTAATATTTTCATTAATTAAAAGCCCAACTCCAATGTTGCCTCATCTGTGAGGTAGTCTTTACCTACTACCATTGACTTGCTCTTGAGGATTTTTATCATTATGAGAGAAGCAGTCACTTTCTGTTCTTTTGTTGGGATTGTTTGCTTCTATATCTTTTCCATGAGGCTGTTCATTCTTTGAGTTCAAGGTTTGAGTTTCACCTGTTTGCTCCTCTTTTGCATCCCACCTCCCAGTCTAAATCTGCACACCTAACATTTAATAGAGGTTCCCACAGAAATAAGACACATTCAGGGAAGCATTTCATTCCAAGTGACAGAGTCAAACAGCACTAACTTTAAAAAAAGTAATTTATGGATTTTGCTGTTATTATAGCATTTTATTTCATGGGCAAGTTGCCTAATCCCCCTTAATCTCAATTTCATTTTCTGAAAACTAGGGATTGTGATGGCACTCAAATCCTAAAATTATTACAATCATTAAATTGACTAACATATGCAAAGTGCTTAGAACAGTGCTTGGCACATGATGAATAATAAGTGTTAGCTATTGCTTTTATTATTATAATAATTATTTTCAAGGAAATTATGGTTGCCCATGAGGAAGATAATGACAAAAATGAGCCAGAAATGAGAAGGAAGAAAACCAAAGAGAAAGAAGCAAAAGGGTAGTGCAAAGATAGAAACAAAAAGATGTGTCTGGATCCAGGCTCCTTCAATCCCCATGGACAAATAAATCGCAAGGGTGTCTCAGGGAGAGCTCTGACCTTCTGGAACTCCTCGGGAAGGGAGATTCACATAAAAACTTTGCTGCTTTTGGCTTGTTTCATTCTTCTCTGCTCTTAAAAATGGTTATGTGGGGAACTATTAAATGTCACTGTCTTATTTAAACTCCCATGTGCAATCTATTTTTGTGTTTGAAGAACAACACACTGTTTATACACCCCACGTGCCTACAAAATGAAAACAGATGGTGCCACCTAAAGAATTGAAGGCAAAACATGTAGGAAGTTGATGTACTTTCAGAACATACTCACATATACTGGATGACTAAAATTTACTTAAAAAATGAAGGAAGGTGAGAAGAATCTTGTTAGAAGAGATTGAGTAGCAACTTAACTGTCTTATAATTTTTAGAAGCTTGGTACCAATTAACTTCATTTTCACTCAGTAAAAATTAAGAAAGATGTGAAAATAAGGAATTCTTGGTGAACTATTTAACATACCAACTGTGAAAGTCAATATCGTACGTTAACATCACAATGCCAAATTTCCCTTATAAATGGACAAAGATGCTACTACTCCTCAAGGTTAAATGGTTTAAATTTATCAAATCAAACATGCAAAAACAGATTGTGAAGTGGTTTGTCTTTATTTGTTTTTATAGCAACAGGGTCTCTCTCTGTGGCCCAGGCTGGAGTGCAGTGGTATGATCCTGGGCTCAAGCCATCTTCCTGTCTCACACCTGGCTAATTTTCTTTTCTTTTAATTTCTTTTCTTTTCTTCTATTCTTTTCTTTTCCTTTCTTTTCTTTTTGAGATGGGGTCTTTTTATGTTGCCCAAACTGGTCTCAAACTCCTGGCTTCAAGCAATCCTCCTGCTGCAGCCTTCCAAAGTGCTAGGATTACAGGTATGAGCCACTGCACTTGGCCCCAATTGTGAAGTTTTAGATACATATATGTCCCAAATGTATCTTTCCTCATTACCTGTTTTGCATCAGCCACAGCTAATGTTGGGTAATTTCTGATTATAGACTACTAGTTTTTGTGGATTCAAATAAGAACTTCCCATAAGAACTGATTTGTCAGTTTGGCTTACAGTTATTCATGGTATTCTATAGCTGGTGTCTGGGAAAATAGGTCAAATATTGTCTCTTCAGGTCAGTGATGTTGGAGTAGAATTATCTGGGCATGCCTGGCATTCCACTGGTTCTTCTCTAGGAACAGCTAGACAGAGAGAAGCAAAGGGCAAAGACAGCGTGGCAAGAAAGACACAGAAAAAGACAAGTCATTGGAAGAAGCAGAGACAGATAAAGAAGAGAGCAATAGAGTGACGATAAGAGTAGAGAACTAGAGAGGGGAGAGACTGTTTAACTTACTGACGGCTTCGCCTCCCAGAGGGCATGGCTTGCCTTTGTTTCTGTGAGATCTCCATACCATAACACTTATTTTTTAGTTGGGCTACTTTGAATGGATTAGTGTCCCTTTCAAGGAAAGCATTGATTAGAATACTTATAAATGCTTTCCTATTTGTTGCTTTAGGGAAATTAATTGCCCAGGTCTTAAAAATATTAATTACTTAAGAAAATAATTATGTGGAACTTATATATAAACACACAGGCAAACACACACAAGAATACATACACATACATACTACATACACATATATACACATATATAATTTTAAAATGCATATAGAAATTAAATGAAATATTGTTACATATATATACACACACACACACACATGTGTATACACACACACATACCTGAACACACATAGGTGTATGTATATTTTCCCCTCTGAGAAGTAGAAAATATTACTGTGAGGCTCTCGGGCCTCAATCTCACACCATGGTAACCATCTGTTTGCAAGCTGAAAATCTTCAGTCCTTCAACAAACACTAACTGCCTCTAGCTTAACTCTCTTTAACTCTATCTAACCCTAGCTGTCTTATTCCAGTAGCTCTCTGTCTCCTAAAAGCCTGAAATATATAGACATGTGGCCCTAAGGATTTAGTGTGACTGAAAAGGATTGTATACGGGCACATCAATATTTATTATTCTCCTTAATGGTTTTGAAAACATGAAAATAGTTCTGCTAACTCTCAGGTTTATTGACAATAGCAATAAATACCTGTGCTCAGAGTACTAGTATTCATAATTTATCAATAGGTCAACTGTCAATCTGCTATTGGCCAAGAAACCACTGGGACAAGATAATAAGTCCATTAATAAACATAAATATTATTCTACTAGTTGACCTTGTGGGATTTCTAGGTCCAAGAAGCAAAATGAATTAGTTCATTCACTTATTCACTACATAAATATTCACCAAACCTCTTACATGTGTCAGGGCAGGGTACTTTGTTTAGCATAAGAAAACAAGAGAGAGAATCAGAAATGAATAAGCTAGAGAAAGTTCCAAATTAGAGACTGTGGTGTTCTGTCTCCAAAAATAAAAGATTAATTGTATTGCAGGTAAGCAGAAAAGCTTATGACACCAAAAGCAAGACATAAGGAATGTTCATATACAATTCAACATATATTCTTTGTCATCTATTCTGTGCCCATTAATCATAATGGTCTTGTGAAAAATATTTTGTAAATCCTTATTTTTGCAAAGCATGTAACAAAGTTCTATATTCCATTCTTGTTATAAAGATGGAGAAATATAGGTGGGGTATTTTAAATTGACTCATACTTTTAGAGTGAATTATTCAACAAATATTTGTTTTCCCTATACTATATACTTCCTGTTGTGAAACTATCTACATGAAAAAGACTAACTCTTGCCCGTTGGTGAGTTTATAACCTATCATAGAAGGGAGCCAACTATGAACAGAACACAAGGCAACAAGTATTAAGTGGCATAAAAGATGTGCGGACAAATGACTTTGGAAGTTCAGAGGGTGGATAAATTGTTCTGGATGGTCAAGGAACACTAGGCATTTCTTATTTGAATTATCTATTATAGGAGAGGGAGAATTTGAAGAGAGAGAGATATGAGTAAAAGATATTCCAGTCAAGGGGACTATATGGAGAAATCCTGTATGGAACAGAGAACTGTTCAATTTGCCTACAAACCAGCCATATAGTCGTGGTGATCTTGAACATCAGAAATTTGAACTTGGTACTGTAAGTCATGGGAATCAGTAAGGATTTTGGATTGGGGAAAGGCACCTAGTTCTTATTGATGCACTGGTATTAGCTTGGAAAAGAGTCTGCACTGATCATCACCTTTGTCATTTCTTGAATGAAGATGTAAGAAGCATGGTGCCAGAAGAGGAAACTGAGGCTGGGGGAGATAACAACCCATGTCAGGTCACAAGAGCAGTTGACTGTATAATAGTTTGAACTAGGATGACTTGAACTCATGACTTGTTAGCGATCTTTACGCTGCTATATCTGATCTTTATTAATTTATTATGAAGCTAAGTCAGAAAACGTAGTTTCTCTATTTTACTGATGAGAATGTTGAGGTCAAGCCACGTGTTCCGGCTCACGCAAGTAAGAAGGACAGATGGGAACACAATTGCAATCATGAGTCTTCGGAACACCTTATGTTCACATTCCCCCATAGTGCCACAGACCCTCCTTTTCTTGTGAACTGGATAATCACATACCCGCAGCCCCCTTCCCTTATTGATACCACCTTCAAAAATTGAAGAAGTGTCAAAATTGGGGAAGAAGAACACAGGTAACACAAAAGTGTTTTTTGTTTCTGTCCCAAACTTGACCTTTATTTTTTTAAAAAAAGGAAACTTACAGTTGTTCTGCAGGAGTTTGTCCAGGGAATCACGCCACTGCAGGGCCTCGTCCAGCGAGGGTCTACATCAATTATAAGGAGAGAAAAGGGGTATGGCATAAGTAGGCATTGAAGCACATGTACCAGCAATAACTACTTCCTGTTTCTCTCAGATGGAAATGACATGACTGCTGGTCTATCCTCAGGATAAGGAAGTTTGAGTTATTTTCTCTTTAACAATTGGGTTTGATGAGCTGGGTTTGCTTTCATACATCTTTATTGCATATCTTCATCTTTTTTGAACATTTTGGTTAGGTCTTTCCCTTTTTAAAAGTAGAGTTTGTTTGACATTAAGTTGTGTCTTGATATTCTTTTTTTTAATATTCTCTCTCTTTTTTTGTTTTCTTTCTATTTTGATTCATTCCTATTTTCTCCTTCTGGTTTTCTTGAATTGATATTCTTATATATCCCATGAAAGTTGTTACAATTGTGGTCTGTTTTCCAAATATAACTTCATGAAATCTAGTTGTCCCATTACAGAGACTGAACTCCTGTTTTCTGCCTCACCAATACTGCATGTTAACCAACTAACTGAATCAGCAGGGGGCATTGGGGTTCCATATCCACATCCCAAAGCCGTCTAATTAAGGCTAGTGGAAGATATGAGTGTATAATACTTTCCTTACGTTGAGATTGTGATCATAGCAAATTTATATGTTAAAAAACATAGGTGCATTTTTCCTACCCACTTAGAACAGGATCAGACTTTTTAAAAAAGATTTACTCTGTCTAATTAAAAAAAAAAAAAAAAAAAAAAGAGTGGTTAATATATCCTGAATTGGAATGTTACACACAAATGCTCAAGATGCTGACTCAAAAGGAGAAGGTTATAGCCAACATATAATTTCTCCTTAGGCTGTTTCTATTTTAACATTTATGTATGCAGAAACCCTGCAGCTATTTCATCTCAACCACCAATTTTTCTCTCACAGCAGGATGTGTCAAGTGGAGCTGGTATTGTCTGGGAAAAATGGCTGACTGCACACTCTTCGGCTCACCCGGCTCGAACTCTTGCATTATGATGTGAATTCTTCGTTGTCAAAGCAAAACAGACTGACAAAGCATTTACTAGAATAGTAAGGCCAATTCAGGTGTTTTTCCTAAACCGGAATTTCCTTAGCTCTTAATTTGTTTATCAACTGGCCAGGCAATCAAAAAAAATTCCTGCTTCTAGTTTTTATACAATGATATTTCGGGGCGGGTTAGTTATTCAGATTAGTAGCTTTGGTTGATATGACAGTTGCTTGTTCTACTTTTAATTTTGCTGTCCCAGGTGCAGAATCAGCCTCACTTTATTTATGTAAGGAATCCAAGACGGCAGTAGGTTTGGGCTAAAGTATTATGAATAATCCCTTTACTTCTCTATTCCTCACTGCAGAACATGCATAGGTTTTGAGTCCTGATTATATGATTTTTTATAAAATTTTATGTGTTCACTCTTTGCAAGTTAAACTTGCCAAATTGAGGGTAACAAACCTGGTGAAATAATCTTGGGTGGTTTCTGTTTTCCTGGCTAGAAACACAGGCATCATAGATGGAAAATATACTAATGCCTCAGAAATTTATTTCTGACACATGAGCTACCCATCCCTCTTCCCATTTCCTCTGGCTAGTATAAAGGATCACACGAAGAAAAAAAATGGCAGGAACAGGGTGATTATAAGTATGTCTCTATAGCATTCTGGTTCATTTTATTTCTAACCAGAAAAGGACCTGTCTACTAGAGGTCAATAACTCATCTTGGCTCTTTTATATTACTGCAGGTGGAGAACTGTTTTATGTGCATATTATTTCATACCTACATGTTTAGCACAAGGTCTTACATATCTTATATTCTTCACTATAGTAGGTTCAATGTTTTGCACATAATAGACACCCACCAAGTCCCTATTCATTGTTCACAGAAGCAGCAGGATATTAAATTATTAGACGAAAGAAAGTAGCTCAGAGCAAGAGGAAGGCTGGTTTACTCACAGGATCTCCTGATTTTATAAATATTCTCATTAAATGAAATCACTTTCCTGCCCCACTTTTCCTCTGGTTAGTATAGAGGAGCAAAGGAAGAAGAAATGACATGAGCAGGTGCACCAAACTTAAGCATGTTATCCGATCTGATTTGTCCCAAATGGTCTTGTTGGAACCAGGCTAATGGTCAATAACAGCAGCACATCACAGCCAAGATTAAATTCCTGAAAAGGAAATGTGCAGAGCCTGCTTAGGGGTGAAATTGGTTCAAATTGATTTAAGGGCACAGTCAAGTAGGACACATCCCCCACAGCATGAAGCCCAGTGTTTTGATTACCAGCCTAGGAGTTAACAGAGGTTCATCCTGTCCTTATTCTCAGAATTTGCGAGTCCTCATTAGGTCTGACTTCATTGGAAACAAGATAGATGCAGATCTAAATGGCCAATAAATGTCCTGGTTTGCAAGGTCATAGCTGACCACAGAGGATGGGTATGGAGTTTCTGTGTGTGGGAGTGTGGGGGAGAGAGAGGAAGCTATTTCAAATGAAACTCAAAATAAACATTTATAGAGATGATTAACCACATGTTTTATAAAGCCTAGTGTAAATGCCACCTGGCCCAGGAAGTGGCCATCTCTGCTGGAAGCACTGTCTCTCTTTTTGCTCTACTCTTACTGCTTTTACTCACTGAATCTCTCACATGGCAACGATGCACTCACTGCGAAAGGGTATAGGTTGTCATGCACAGAGAACTTTTCCCATTCCACCCTATCCCATGGTGTATCAATCCACCTTGCAATAAATGTGTGTCAGACTAATAAGTAAATGAATGACGGTTTTGTCCTGAGTTAGCCTGGTTTATGAAAGCCACAAATAACCCCAAACTCAGATTTTAATGACCAGTCCCATGAACCATTATTACTGCTATTGGCAATGCTGGCACTTACTAGCTATAACCTCAAGTCCCTGTGGTGGGTTTTTTGTTTGTTTTTGGTTTTTGTTTTGTTTTGATTTTTAATCTGTGCAGTGCCTGGCACATACTTAAATGTCTTAAAAATGTTCTTACACATTGATGCTCTTAACAAGGAAAAGAAAATTCAAGTTATTTACTGTGAATTAGATGTCCCCTCTCCCTTCCTGCCTGACAGTGCAGGCTGCTCATGACCAGGCTCAAGTTTATGAGCATTTATTGAGCCCTTACCTGATACCCAGTGGTGACCTGGCCACCATGGTTGGGCATACAGACTTAAGAACAAGTAAAACATGTCACTTTTTGACATCCATATGCAGACCTAAAATTGTGCATAGATCCTTAGTCTTCACAACCAGGCTCACTCTAACCAGGTGAGCGTATGCAGGACAACTTTCTGTAACTGTTTGCCACTAGCACAGGCTAGGTACTGTTTATGTGTGGAGGTCATTCTTTAGTATAAAATGATCACTACAACAATAAACCAGAAAAAGGGGTTAAAAATTGCTGACATAGGCAGGGGAAAGGGAGACATTTATAATATAAAATAAACTACATGAATATCTATATCAGCTCCTAACATTTTACAATTGATGATATTGTAAGCCATGATAACAGTTATCACAAACTAAACCTATGTGGTTGATTAATGTTGTCTATTGTTTCTTGGGAGGACCTACAGCAGAGCCTTAAAGAATGCTCACATCCAGAGGGTGAGCAACAGTGGGAGCACTTAGAGAAAGAGAAGGCAGGAGGGGAATGCAGGACTAGAAATCAAGGAAGAGAGTTTTAAGAGTAGGTCAACTGGGCTGGGCGCGGTGGCTCACGCCTGTAATCCCAGCACTTTGTGAGGCTGAGGCGGGTGGATCACCTGAGGTCGGGAGTTCGAGACCAGCCTGACCAACATGGAGAAACCCGTCTCTGCTAAAAAATACAAAATTAGCCGGGCGTGGTGGCACATGTCTGTAATCCCAGCTACTCGGAGGCTGAGGCAGGAGAATCGCTTGAACCCGGGAGGCAGAGGTTGCAGTGAGCCGAGATCGCGCCATTGCACTCCAGCCTGGGTGAAACAGTGAACTCCGTCTCAAAAAAAAAAAAAAGAGTAGGTCAACTGGTGAGCCATCAAATGCTGCAGACAAGTCACAGATGGGGCCTTAGTTCAGGTGAGGTAGTAAGGTCGAAGCTCGATAATAAGGAGATACAGAAAAGACTGAAAGCCATGAGTACAGACTTCTCTTTCTACAGTTAGCCAATAAAAGTAAGAGAAAGGTAGAGAAGCAGAAAGAGAGAAAGGCGGGGAGAGAATTTTTCAGCATGGGACATGGGTACCTGTTTGCTTCTAGGGGAAGAGGGTCCACAGAGCAAAAGGGCAACTAAAACTGCAAAAGGGGAACAGAGCTGTCTTTAGGGGCTAGGAATATAAGCACTTATTTCTGTTTTTCTCAATGGTCCATTTTTTTAAAAAAATGAGAATTCAAAACTACATGTTAAAAAATAGAAAATGCTTTTTAAAAAACGGATTATACTGATGTCAGTAACCCAAAGAATATGAGAGGGGTTAAAAATACCTCCAATCAAGAGAAGAATTATTTTCCCCTCTGAAAGAAGACGTGAGTTAAAAATACAGAGAAATTTTAAAGTGAGAGAAGAGACAGAGAGATGGAGCTGATGCGGAACACAGTATTTCTTGTCAGATAAATGGCATAGAAAGTTGCCAAACATGAGGAGGTGGGATGGGGTTATTGGATTCAGAAAAGAGTGGGAAACTTTTTTACTGGTCACTGTTGAAAATGCAATGGACACAGAATTATTCTCTAGGGAGATGAAGGAATTTTTCCAAAACAATTTAGGCTTCTGGAGGAAGAAAGAGGATGGAAGACAAGAGAAGTAAATAATCCAATAAATGGTCAGCCCCAGGGTTTCTTCCAAAACAGCTTCTCTCTGAATCCCTTTTAACCCCAACAGTTTAAGGGTCTACGTGAATGTTAAAGTAGAGATTTAAAGCAGGAAATGTAGTAATCTATTTTTTTAAAGTTAATTCCAACAGATCAATAAATTGTCACATTGTTTACTTCAAAATAGATGTTTTGATCTGTTGCTGCTATGAAATGTGGTTCTTATTCTCCACTACCGCTCGGTGCCTGCTGCTCCACACTGAATTATCTTCTCCTTTTCAAATGCAGAAAACTCAATTATGCCTCACTTCCTGTTTAGAATCACTTTGAAGTAATAAAAAAAATGGAAAAAGATTAAAAAAAGAAAAAGAAGAACTCATCTCTTTATCTCCCAATCAATCCAGCTACATTAAGTTGAGGTCATTTGGACAAAGGATAGGCTGGCCAATTTACACAAATATTCCATTTAAAAAGAGAAATGGAGGTTAAAGAGACTAACATATTTTTACCACACTTCTGTGATATCCTCAAAGCTCTAAGATAGCAGAGTGAAGGAATTTGAATGCCTTGGCCTTTTCTTCTTCCCATTTTCCTTTCTTGATTTTCCTGGGTATCTCTGTTTTAATGGGAAGATGGAGTGTATCTGTCTAGGTAGCGATAGCCTCTGCAGCTAGCAGGGATGATAACGAACAATGGGAATGCTGGGAGTCATGTTTCTGAGTGAAAACAGGGCCAACGCACACCGTAAGACCTGGATTCACTGCCATAACATCATGACTCTTTAGAAGTAATAGCTCCCTAGGATGCCTGAATTGACAGGAGGAATATGTAGGGAGAGGAGAATGGGGATGAGGGAGGACTGCAGAAATCCAATCAAGAATATGAATTTATGAATTGGGAAAAATACCTGGTGTACATTAAATAGAAATAGCTAGTCAAGTGTTCATTCTTCACTTAAGTAACAGACTTTGTTCCTCTGTTAGACCTTGAGGAGCACCATCTTGGAGAAGAAATGATAAGGCTGAAATTGTCTGCCTTGTCCTTATATCTTCCTGAGGGAAATGTTCTCACATCCTCCTGCTGAGGAAGCAGCTTTAGATGGTTCATCAGCAGGTAAGCATCCAGGGCTCATAATTAACTGGATCAGGAGTGGTTACCAAGGCAGTAAATGAGCAGGTATTTTTACCACACTGC